CCTCATGCGGGCCAAGGAGAAGAAGATCCGCAAGCTGACCGCCAAGCTGGCCAAGAAGAAGATGGAAGGCCGCGGTGCGCACACGACACGACACACGACACGCACACGACGCACGACACTCACTGGGGGGGGGTGACGGCGCGCATGTGCAGAGGTTCCGGTGGGGGCCGGACCGGAGTGGGTGCTGGACGTGATGGTGCCGGAGTGCGTCGGCTGCCACGCGCAGTTCACCCTCATCAAACGCCGACACCACTGTCGCAACTGCGTACGTGTCTCCCCCCAACGCCGCACACGCGTGCATTGTTGCGTGTGAAGCGGTCGCCGTTCGCTGATCGTCGCACGAGTGTCGCACGACCGATGGCGCAATGAGATGACTCAAACGAGTGTGTTGTGTGAAACGTTGATTGTCGCACAGGGCAAGGTGTTCTGTGGGAAATGCACATCGCTCTCGTGCAGCATCGAGGAGCTGGGCTACACGGAGCCCGTGCGCGTGTGCGAACCCTGCTTCGCGGCCCTCCACACCAACCAGCCCATGGCCGCCGCCGCTGGGGGCTCGGGCGCTGCCGCCCAACAACAGCCGCCACCTCGCGCGGATACCGGCGGCGGACAGTGATCACTGACTGTTTTTTATGTCCGAACCAAAAGAAGCGAAAGCGAAAGCGAAGAAGGGCCGCAGCAAAGGAATGAGGAAGAACTAAGAAGAAAAGCGGGGGAAGGCGAGAAGGGAGCCGTAGCCGACGGGTCGGGCGGTCGGGCGGGCCGCCGAGGCAGAGAGACAAGAGAGACGCGAAGACGAAACAATTCTGCGGGTAGAGCCGAGAAAGTTGGCGACACGGCCAGTCAGCCAAACGGAGAAAGTAGGTTGAAAGAGGCCGGACCAATCATGACAGAGTTTTGAATTGGCACTCTACTAAAGGCCAATCAAAATCGAAAAACAAACTTGTAGAATAGAAAAGTGGCAGGTACGAAGCGTGGAGGACACCATATCTGCGCCGCATGTCACAACAAGCACGCGGCCCAGGTGACCCAATACGGGCCGCCCTCAACGGCAGATCGTGGCTCGTTCACCCTTATCGCAATGGTGCACGACAACAGTACAACGTTACCACGAAATACATCGTGAAAGCCCTTATAAGGTCTGTTTACCTTTGCGCCGCCATTGGTCTGCTTAACGAGGTCTACTTGCCATCATCTTGCCGCCCTCTTTCCCTATCTCTTCTGTTATGGGTAGACAAATCTCGGAATGTAAAACATCCGCGGTGCTGATGGCAGGCAGATGCCACAAATACCAAGAGGCACTCATTCGTCTTGCCGACGTCAGTCTGGCGTAAGCCTTGCTAAAGGATGCGTGATGGCCGTCCGACGGAGACCAACGCCGTAGCGGGACCGTCGAGACCAGTCGCACTCTCGTTCCACGCAGCCCACAGCACACCACACGTGCGGACCCAGCCCGAACGCTCTCACTCCCCATCCCCGCGCGCAGAGGGTCACAC